TGCTCCCCTCTATGTGCCCAACCTGGTCATGCCCATTCAAATTGCTCTGATCAGTCATGCACGTGTGCCAATTGTTGACTCATAACTTACTTTATAGGAATTTCCTTGCCTACAAACTCGAATCTGAGGTAGCAGTTTTCAGCTTCAAACTAAGACTCGCTCTATGTAAAGCCACGGAAGACCAGACGAAGTGTTTCTCTTTCTAACTATTCCCAAACTATATTTCACTCCACTCCTCTCCCATCTTCTGAAGATGTCTCGGCATCTCCCCTAGTATCTCTTGCTGTGTGGTGCAGCGGTAGTGATCTCATCTAGCAATCTTGCTGACCTGCATTCATATATCTCACTGCCAGTGGAAGGTAACCCCGGCCATTCCATTCCTTGATAATTTAGCGGCAAAATAAAACAGACACTATGTCACACCAAGAATATCCATTGTAATAAATGGAATCAAACTAAACCTCTTCCCTCTGCCTGAACCATCCTAGCTCTACTCCCTCTCTCCATCAAATTCCTTTTCCAGTCTAAATCCAGATACTCATGCTTACACATCCTCCTTCTCACTCTACCTATTGCACCAGGCAATCGAACTATTCCACCCCATCTTATCCTACCACATCCTCTCCTCTGCTTCTCAGACATCTATTCCCTCTTCTCCTCCTCATAAGAAAATCTTTGTTTCTCAGACCTCTCCACTCAACTCCTCTCCAGAAACTCTTAAAGACATCCAAAACATAAACATGAGTCAAGAGAATGCTCTACTTCCTCATCCACCCTCCAATACCTCTATTCCTAATCACTCAATATCCAGTATAATACACCGTACTCCATTTGCTCCCCTTCTATACCCTTTCAGTTGACATTTTATCATACTCTATAACCTTTGACAGCTAATATATCTTATCCTAATTGTTAACTCATTGTTAATTGTTAATTGTTCTACTCTTTTTGCCACAATACTTTACCATAGTGCTTTATGACCTTTATATCTAGCACATTTATTTTTTTCTAACTATTAACCATTCATATTTTGATTTTCATTAAAGAAATTCCATTATTATCAGTCCTGCTTCTCATTAATGCTATTAATTTTAATGACAATTATTATTATGCCTTTGATCTGATTTTTTATTGTTTGTACTATACCTATGTAAACAGAATGAGAAAAATAAGTTAATAATATAAGTATGACCAAATGTCTAAGAATCCAAATGTTAACATTGCAATTGTGTATTAGTCGGGTCTTAAATAGATCTCCATGTAACTGACACTTTAACAGTTGACCCTAAGAATGCAAAATGAGGCATTTTCCTATGGAGTTAAGGACTGATGAAGCACATACAATATGAAGTTCCTGGGATATCAGGAAAAAATAAATGCCAGAGATCTTTCTTTTGGAACAAAGAATCTCATGACCAACAAGTAAACTTAATGATGATCTATTCATAAAATACAGTAAAGATTGGGTAAGATTTCATGATTTGAAAACTTTTTGTAATGGAATTGTGCTATGATATTCATGATGCTTTCAATATTCACACTGTTACTAGGACAAACAAGTTCCAAGGTATGTACAGGATCCTTTAAAAGGTGGGTTGGGGGCAAAAGATGAAAAAATCATACCACAGTTTATTAATGTTGTACAATATATGTATACAGAGTAACATGATGCAATACTAAACTAGGAACTAAATATGTCCAGCAGACACACACACGGTCACTCTCACTCATGGTCATACTCGGACTCTCTCTGTTGCTCACACACAGTAACACTCTCTCTCTCACTTATACAGTATATAATATATACATACATACATATACATAGTTTATGCACGTAATATATACATACACACCCACACCCACCAACACACACACAAACACACACACACACACACACACACACACACACACACACACACACACACACACACACACACACACACACACACACACACACACACACATGTATATAGTATCTGCTGAATTAATAACTTATGCCAATGTCTGTTTAAACACGCTTACATTATACATGTATATCCCCTTAACCCATTGCCTCCGGGGATGGAATGTATGTACATGCCATGCCCACTGTGAGTCGACTTGTTTGATTGCTTTTACACATAGATGGCTACACTTGTACTAAGTATCCAATGAGCCAATTACGAGTACTGCCTGCCTCGCCCGTTCACCCTTTTCATCGATTTACGAAAATATTTAACGTTTTCCTAATTTGCTGTTAAAAATAACACAATCTATATTTATAGCACTAGTAAAAATACGTTTTTTCCCGCCAATTCAAGGAAAGGTGAAATCAGGACTAGCAGAGCCATCTATGGACAGAGATATTTCACAAAAATATAAAAAATGAGTACTGCATTTCCCCCATTTTTTGTTCATTTTCCCCGGCGGCAATGGGTTAACCCATGCAGATATTTCTTTGAAGAAAAAAAAAAAATGTTCCTAAAAATGTCTAGTTGTTTAGACTGGAATCTTTCATCAAAACATAGTCATACACATAAATGAGGCTGAAACCTTTTCTAATGATTAGCAAGTTTTATAGTAGCTGTTATAAGTATTTTTTTTCTATCACTTACATCTTTACAGCATAAAATATAATGACAGTTTTTATACTCACTAATTGTAATATAAGAGGCTTGTATATGTTATCCCAGTTTCAAAAATATAATTTGCTCATTAATCAACACATATCCTGTACACAATATTTTCTCCATATGCTAAGGCTACTTATACAGAAGATAGTACTATACTGGATGCAATGCTTTTAATATTTATTATATTGATAAATTAATATTGCATGAAAATAGTGAGCTTAAGATGATACTGAACTTAGTTCAACACCTATTGCTTTGAGCGACTATATGTTTGTATTTACAGTTTTTGGCACAAGTAAAATTTTACTGATAAATTCATCTAACCCCCAAGCCATATGTATACACCTAATAAATTGGCAAGGTAATTATTGCATATCTATATCTATATCTATATCTATATCTATATCTATATCTATATCTATATCTATATCTATATATATATATATATATATATATATATATATATATATATATATATATATATATATATATTTATATATATATACATACAGATAGTCCCCTACTTAAGAACATTCTACTTATGAACATTCCATACATACAAACAAATATTTTTAAGCACTAAAATACAAAAAATTGTTTGAAAGATGCAAGCAAACTTCAAATTTCCCGGGCATGAATATAGTTCAAGAGTCTGGTACTGTATAAGGTATGTCGTACTTATTGGGATTTATTTACAGGTATTCTTAATGTAAACAAAACTTTAAAACAATGGGAAAAAAGGTAATGGAGACCCAACTTTCGACATACAAACAAATCAACTTACAAACAGCCTCTCGGTCCCCATTATGTTCTTAAGTTGGGGACTTACTGTATGTATATATATATACACATATATATATATACATATATATATATATATATATATATATATATATATATATATATATATATATATATATATATATATATATATATATATATATATATATATAAAATTATATATAAATTTGCAAAGGCCTTTGTATGCTTTACTGTTTAACCCATTTGTGCCAAGATGATGTAGATGATGGTAGACTACCCCTCATGTTGGGATAATCTCTTCACATCATATGCAATCAAGCCTGCTCTAGGTTGTGCATGTTAAACAGTTGTGCACATAAATGTCCTGGCTGCATTTGTTGAGGATAAAAAGCCCCTCAAAGGTATCTTAAAGCCTCGTTTAGCCTTCTTACCGAAGACTTCATTTATGTTGTAACCAAGAGCATAGAGAGCTGCATCATTTTATATTTTCTGCGCTTTTAATTTTTTCCTCAACCAGCTTACTCTGCATGCACCACGACTCCAGCCATGGCATTTCTGTGAAACTCATTGCCTATGAGTTTATGCTACCTAGTCATTGTAGCAGTCACCTAAGAGGTAAATGATAGTTCTCTCTCTTTTGCTTGATGATGTTCCTGATCTTTTATCTCAAGTTGTGTTGATCTTATTTGTGTGACCAGGCAGGGCCTCCAGATGCTCAGTTATGATTGATTATGGAATAGTCATTCTCTATGGACTGTCTTTTTTATATATTAAAGGAATTTCTTCTTCAATGGGCACCTTTTTCAATGGTCTAAAGCCACAATCATCATATGATTCTTACCTCTCAGGCAATTGGAGTGATAGAAATGACTCTACTGATGAAGCGGTAAAATATCTGATATCTTAATATTTATACTCTAATTTGCTACAATGATTAACTTATGGAACAAATAAAATAGAAAAAGCTATACAAGGTGGCATCTCTAAACAATTAACCCCTTGCCGACGGGCATGGCATGTACGTACATGCCATTCCCATTATGAGTTTACTTGTTTAATTGTTTATACACATAGATGGCTACACTTGTACTAAATCACCAATGAGCCAATTACGAGTACCGCCTGTTCACCCTTTTCATCGATTTACAAAAATATTTAACGTTTTCTTATTTTGCTGTTACAAATGTTTATAACATTTTAATAATTATAATGTTTATAATAAAACTAACACCATCTATATTTACAGCACAAGTAAAAATACGTTTTTCACGCCAATTCAAGGAAAGGTGCAATCCTTTATGGCTAAGTATTAGCAGAGCCATCTAGTAACAGGGACATTTCACAAAAATATAAAAAATGAGCACAGAATTTCCCCCATTTTTTTATTCATTTTCCCCGTCGTGAAAGGGTTAAGACAAATTACTCACTTTATGCTATTTACTATAAAAACTATTTCAGAAAATGAGTACAACAGATAAGTATGAAACAACTGCTGAAGACATGGCAGAGAAAGTGGAGAAGAAAAGAAAAGAAAAGAAAAGAAAAGAAAAGAAAAAGCAAGCAAGCAAGCTCTTTAAGGCAAGAGTTACAATATACAAGTAAAATGTAAAGGATAAACAATGACACTTATTTTCATACAATGTACATTTATTTTCATAATGTTATAACTACAATATATATATAAAAAAAATATTTTATTAGAGTATTTCATGTTCTATCAATCTGTTTTGACAAATACTAAAATTCATAACAAATCAATTTTTTTTCAATCAAACTGGCTATTCTGGAACTGTAGCTCGACTGGATAATCATTTGAAATATCAGGTGCTACTTCTCACAGACAAGGTATAAAATCAGAAGCAAACAGGTAGGTTTTGTCAATCGAACTCCACAATTTTCATTTTCCTATCTGGATAATTTTCAATAAATTATGAGTATAAAGCTATAAGAAACACCTTGCAGCTTAAACAACAGAGAGCAGCCAACAGGAGCAACAAATTTGTATTTATAGCATCATTACCTATCATATGGAACTATTACTAGATACTGATTTCATGAGCATAAAGCATGAACAGTATTTTTACTATGAATCACTAAAACTGCAGCTTTGAGAAAATCTGACAAGAATCAACTGAAGTGATATGCCTATAAACACAGAGAATAAAAACAGACAGTAACATTGATCTTCTCCTGCCTGTCAATTTGTATACTCCAGCATTTCTCTTTACTTGCCTTCCTACCATAAAAATGAACTCAGCAGCACAAAAAAATCCCTTGTTATCAGTTTTAACTTAAATACGTCATATATGCACACTTCTGCAGTTTCAAGACTGGGTGATAATTGTGGTGTATTTTTGTACTCATACATATTAACCCATTACTACTGGGTGGTTGCACTATCAATTGCAATTTTCTTTTGTGAATTTTGTCTACACACAAATGGCTAAGTAAGAGTTCAGTCACCAAGAAGTCAATTGGAAGGCCTTACGTAACATCATCTGATTTCTCCATTCCTTGAATTTTCAGATTTTTTTTTTTTCTAATGCTACTAATATTTATGATTTTATTGTTATTAGTATGATTATTATGTCATAAAAAAATCACAATAAAAAAAATCTTTTAGAAAAGCAAGAAAAAGGTAAGCAGATGAAACAGTTAGAACTCCTTGATTCCTTGGTGACTAAGCTGTTGTGGAGCAAGCTATGTGAAAACAAAATTGCTAAACTAAAATCACAATGGACATAGCATGATTGTACATGCTATCCCAGCAATAATGGGTTAAATGCAGGTTGAGACAAAATATACATATTGGCATAAGTAACAGTCACATATTTATACACAAATCTCCTAAGAACTAATACTCTCATGTGGTCGTAGGTCTTGGTTTCAGAATAAGCTTACCGGTGTCGTCACAGGACATGTTGAAGTCAGAAAGGACAGTGCGTGTTCGAGATGTGATTATTGAAGGTGAAACCACTTTCTTGTGGATGCCCATCATAAAGAGCAAGACTGAAATTGTAGAGAATAAAAAAATTCATATATATACATGAATATACATACTGTACACAATTTAATAGATAGATAAATGCTAATTTCTAAATTTTAAAAAATATTGATCTTCTCTATCCTACCAAAAGGAAATGATTCAACTGTCTCGTGCTGTGTTCCCAACCCTTCCACCTTGGTGAAAGCACATTAGAAAATTTAAGATTACACTTCAATGTCATACTGGAGCTTGTTTCTGTTGTTAATGACAGTATAATGACGTATAATATGTATAACAAAACCATCCCTCTCTTTATACTCTTCCAAGCCTTCAGAAGCTTCTACATCCCCACCCCATCCCTGCCCCATATCCCTTGGTCATCTTTGCCCTTCTAACTGTTGTCTTCTGGTATGGTTGAGTTACTAAAGATATTATTTTTGCTTTGTAAGTGTAATACTTTTCACTCACATATACAGAGTATTTTTTTCAAACTCTGATACTATGAGATCTACAATTTCAGCTGTGTAAAATAAACATAAAGTAAAGTATTCCAACAACTTGTATCCAATTTGATTCATAAAAATTCTCAAAGCTGCATCATTTACCTACAGTATTAATTATAACAGATGGCATCTATACAGCTTTCTAAAATCTACATAAATCCTCTATTTTCTAATGCTTTTATAGAAAGAGAATAGTCAGCTTCTCTAGAATCAAAGACAAGAAGAATAAATATATCAATCCCATATTTTTTGCTTGTGTAGAGAACCTTGAAATTAACCCCGCAGCATGGGCCTAATCACCAAGCTACATACAACTATTATATAACATATCTTGCACACGATCAGTTCCATTCCTTGTCAAGTCTGCATATCTCAATATTTCCCATACTTACTTAGGGTAATGGCAGCAAAAGTGAAGAATAGGTGGTTGAGGAGTGACTGAACGAACGTCACTTCTTGTGTGATGGGATCTGTGAGCCAGAGGTATGCCCCCAGGGCTGTGCTTGCTGCCATTATCACTAGAACCACTGTAAAATATAATTCACTGAGTGCACACAAATAAAAATCATCATTAGGTCACTATAAACAGTTTAACTGGACAGGGGAAAAGTGAGGAAGGAAATTACAGATATAGCAAAAAGGAAAATGATCATATATGAGAGGACAATCAATAAAAAACCAAAAGAATGAAGAAAAATGAGAAGAGAAAAGCATGACACTATTGCCTTCCTATTATAGACTGACTAATGTATCTTATCTATAAACAAAGTGCCAGCAATAATCATAGATATTTACTTCTCCATCTTGTGGTGGCCGGCTGTAGTCTAGCAATGACTTCTGTCAATCGTCGCTCAAAGGCTTTTAAATCTGAAAGAAAACAATTACTCTGAATTTATAATAAAAAATTTATATCAATTGACCAATAGTAAAATAATAAAAAAATGGGAAAATCTTAAAGTAGCAACTTCATGACATACTACATTCAAGATGCATTACTTATCAAAAGTATATATACTCCTTAAAATAATATATGAATGTATTTTATAGGGCAAGGGAGACTATAAAGGTCAAAGGCTAAATCTATATAACCGTTCCACATTGGCTACATGAACAATGGTTAGAGGATTTTGACAACAAAGAAAAATATCATAAAACAAATCCTTGATCTTTCTTTATTACATTATCATACTGCTCCTGATAGCTGAAGAATGTATGAAATAACCCGGCAAAATTAAGGTTAGCTGGAGCCTACATGACATGACCACTTACCCATTCCTATCCAAGAAAAGAACAAAAAGGTGAAGATGATGAACAAAATTAAACAATGCTAACAGTTCTCTGGTTACCTTAAATTCAGGCCACTTTATATTATTTATCTATACTACTGTCTTGTCTTATAAAAAAGAAAGTTTCGTGACTATGACTTTATATATATATATATATATATATATATATATATATATATATATATATATATATATATATATATATATATATATATATATATATATATATACATATATATATACATATATACATACATATATATACATATATATACATATATATACATATATATACATATATATACATATATATACATATATATACATATATATACATATATATATCATATATATATCATATATATATCATATATATATCATATATATATCATATATATATCATATACAATCATATATATATCATATACAATCATATATATACAAGTCACACAGACACACACAGACACAGACACAGACACAGACACAGACACAGACACACACACGCACGCATGCACGCACGCACACACACACACACACAGATATAGCGAAAAGGAAAAAGTTAATGTTTAAAAAATACAGCTTACAGAGAACATTTATACTGATTCTGTGACTTACCTTCACATGCTGTTTGTTCTAGAGACATGCTGTCTGTAAAAATTGCCTGAAAATATTGGAAGAAACAATTACACTTAAAACTGGAAAAGAAGGAAAAATACTTATGGTGAAGTACTTTAAAATTAAAAAAAGATATACAGCTATATACTATCATTATTATATACTGAATAATGGGACAACAGTATCAAAATGAACAAAGTGGTAGAGGAGAGGAAGGTATATGAGAAGGAAAGGGAGGAGCAAGACAAGTGAAGCAGGTAAGCACAGTGAAGGCAGATCTAGTCAGGTCCAAGGGTCTTGCTGTCTCTGCAAAGGGTGGCTGGAAGAAGACAGTAAAACATCTGATGGCCTGTGACCCACTGTGACAGAAAAGGGCACTGTTGTTGTGTCCCCTGGATACAGCATCCTTATGTATGTAGACAAGCATCATCCTGGCACTCAAAGTACTGTTTATCACAGGAGGCACAAGGAATGACATGTACACCTGGTGAAAGATGATCTTGCAGGTGAGAGAATGAAGGGGGCAATGGCGAGAAATTTCCTGAAAGTAATGCAAGCTGAGAACTACCAGGTGATGAATCTCTCTAGGAGGAGAGTCTTGGTAGAAGGTATGAAGTGGTAGCACCGTGAACATGGAAAGGGTAGCCCAGTTTACTGAAGGATCAATGTAAGAAATCAATCTCTCCATCCAAATACTGAGGATAACACATGTAATTGGCTTGAAGAAAGGAACCTTAATATGGAGGGGTGACAGGAAAAGAGGTCAGGAAGTCATGATGGTGGTGCAGGTGAGTGGAAGAAGGTGCACAGAAGGAGAATGAGTGACTGTACTGATTAAGAGTCCAGAAAGAAATAGTGGGTTATAGTTATAATTTATAATTATAATTATAATTTTTTTTTTTATAATTTAGTTTGATTCCATTTGTTACAATGGATATTCTTGGTGTGACATACTGTCTGCTTTATTTTGCTTCTAAATTATCCCCTGTGTGCAAGGAATGGCCATCCACTGGTGGTGAGGGATTCTAATGCAGGTCAGCAAGATTGCTAGACGAGATCGCAACCGCTGCACCACACAGCACACGCATCATAGAGGCATGTTCAGCATATGGGTCTTGGGGGTAACCCAAAGAAATGAGGGAACTCATGGCAGAAGCTTGCCATTAGGCAACTAGATGTTAACTACTTCAGGTGATGATGAAAGATGGCTGTAATACATTCTCAGAGTATTTCTGGTCAGGGAAACATGGAGGCCACATCCAAAAAGTTAAAGGCCTCTTGCAGGTAGGAAGCACAGTTAAGGACCATTAATAACTCAGAAGACTACACAGTGACATACGTGTTCCACAAAATTTGCAAGGCCCTTTTCTGCCATCACTGGGACACAGACTATCAGATGGACTAATTTTAACCTTAACAGTATTTTTTTCTTCTGCTGATTATCTCCTTGCTTCCCACATTTCCAGAATACTCCCTTACATGACCTGCCCTGCCTTTGTTTCTGTTTTTGTTGTACTGCGTTGCTTCTCCCTCTCTACTTCTTCAGGCCTAATGATAAAATTCAGGGGGATTTCAAAACTGTTGTCTCATCTTACAGTAAACCTATTTTGTCTATAGTAGGTTTATCTACCACTGTACACAGTGTAGAATGTTTTATCATTCCAGTAAATCTTATGAAGCTATAATCTTTTTCTGTCACAAAAACAAAAACGAAGACCAATTGCATATGTTTCTTGATCTTATCAACACTAATAATAAATTAACTTTATCACTTCAGTTATTTTAGCAATATTAATAACTACCCCAGATCTGATTAAATTATGGATGCAGTATCAACTTCAGGTAGCCCCTTTTTAGAGAATTGCAACTGCTATAACTTAAGTCTTGTATATCAATTTAAAATACTCGCAACTTATCAACAAAATAAACTTATTAATCAATTTCATACCTTGGCTTCTAGAAATCAACCAGTCCTCTTGAGCAGTTTCAGTAAGAATTGGCCAGATGTGTCTTCCCTGTGGATGCCTCACTGCCTAATACAGTACCAGTTTCCTCCTGAAAAGTAGGACATAACTGTGTGATATAGAAAACAAAATAAGGATAAAAGCAATTAACATTAAACAAAGTCAAGTGGTGTATAGAGACCTTAAACTAAATAAACATTCTCTCTTTCAAGAGCCAGTTATGCTTAGTAGCTTGGGTGACCTGTTCTTCCCTCACACTCTAAACAATTGGACAGGATGTTACTGTCCAGAAAGAGCTGCGTTGAAACCATTAGAACCTCAACTTTTTATATAACAAAGTACATCTGGTCTGGCTTGTATCACTGTGTCAACCCAAAATTCCCAAGGGGATGGGGACCAGGGGCAACCCATTTGTCCCCTTCTCCTGAGGCATTTTACTGTGTAAGTTTTGTCATAAAAAGTGTAAAAGATTAAATACATATGGGTTAAGACAGCCATAAAAACAACATTAGTAAAGGGGTATTCATCTTGATACTATAAATGTAGTCCCATCCATAGCCTTCTCAAGAAGCTCCATAATTGTTTACAGCTGAGATAGTTCAAGATAACAAGGTGATGCAACCTTTGAACTTTAATGACTAACTTTGCCGGCATCTACAAACATTGGTCTATAAGTCTACAATACTTTCCTGTAAATATGTATATAGTGCAGCTGTGCAGCTGTCTTAATATTGCCAATATCTTGGCCCAAGACCAATACTTTCTATATGAGCTTTGTAGTGTTGTAATAATAACCTTCTATTTACTGGAAAGATCTTGATTCAATAAACAAAATATAGCTGTGTTATCAATTCTTCAATATATTATAATCAAATTCAAGGCTGCATTGTACGCTTCATACCAATTACTTTAAATATGCTTAAACATATGTAATACCATTATCATATTATATATTTCCTTATATCCTTAAAATATTCTGCACATCCACCACAGGCCCTGTACTGATTGATGTGGCCCTGCATCTGCTGGCCCTCTGGCAAAGGCCAATAAACCTCCTCTATGGATATTTGTTTCCTAATTATTTAATGGCAAATAAGGAAAACAAATATAATAAAAGAGTTGTGCATTTTCCTATGCTAACACATTTACAAGGAAACTACTGATAAAATATTAAAGATATAAACCAAATGGGCCAATATCACACAGATTATGACTTAACCCAATGACGCCGCATGTACAAAAAAAAACAAAAAAACTCTACGCTCTAGCAAACAAAAGCGGCACACCGATTTTGAGCGCGTGAGTAGGGGACATCAGCCCGAATCACTGGCTCGCCACCGCGGCGTACGGCTGCACGCCAGCTTTTGAGCAGTTTGTTTTCATGCCGATCGGCGTCACCCGGCACCAAGGGGTTAAATGACATTTCAAATTCAAAATTCAATCAGTTACTATAGCTTACGTATGCAGGATTCTCTAGCAAAGGCAAACAAACCTCAACTACATATATACTGACAAGATAGAATTTAACCTGATACTTATCCGACAATCAATCAACAGGGAGGTGAACAAACTTTATTTTGGCTGAATGTATAGTGGAGCCTTGTTGACAGTTACTGAAAATAAAACAAGCCACGAAGGCCACAGTGATTGCTCGATGATTTGCCACACAGATTTACACCACTATCAATGCTATAATTTGCTTGAATATATTTGGGGGAATTTGTCGTCCTTTGCCGTCGTACCGAGATGGTGGCATTTGCTTGTCATTGTGACCCTACTGTATAGTGTTGGACTTTAGATTGAAGATCAACTGTCATAGAACAAAGCCAATATAATTAATAGTCATTGTGAAAACCACTGCTGGCGTCCTCTGAAAAAATAAATGGAAACAGCTGAAGTGACAAGGCTCCCTTTGCAATCTGGAGGGGGTTCACTGCAGTTAAGATGGAAAACACAAGAGTTCTTTGTTTACTATTAGCTCATGTGATATTGTTATCAGTTCTTAACTTCTGATAACGACGACTATAAAATGGCAGCTCAGGGAATAACAGTTGATATACTAATAAAGAACTTACAAGGCAAAAGCCTTTTCCACCAAGCAAAACTCCACTCCAATAAACTACAAAATGTCTCCCGCATCCGCATAATCTTCCATCTTTCACGCAGCACAAATCTACGTAGAAGTAATTCTGACTGTGAAATAACTACGACTGGAAAGCAAAGGTAAGAAAA